AACAAATGGGACCTAATGAAACTTAAAAGCTTTTGCACAACAAAGGAAACTATAAGCAAGGTGAAAAGACAGCCCTCAGATTGGGAGAAAATAATAGCAAACGAAGCAACAGACAAAGGATTAATCTCAAAAATATACAATCAACTCCTCCAGCTCAACTGCAGGGCTTTTTAAAAAAAAAACCATATGCCCTTCTTCCCTGCTCTGGCTTGGATCTGGCACAAAGGTTCTATAAAGTTTCTATAAAGGTACTGGGATGATTCTGATTTGCTTGCCTCCCTCTCCTCCCTGGCCCTAACCACTAACATGAAAGGAAGAAAGATGGCCGAGTAGGATTTAGGTTTTAAAAGAGTTGGATTGGAGGTGCCATAGTGCTAGGCAGCTCTCTGTAGCTAAGGGAACATGTTGAGTTAACTGGACAATTAGTCATCTGAAGTATTCCTGCTGACTTGAATTTCTGCCTTTTGGAAGCTACTAACTTTAGGCGGAAATTTTTAAAATCTGTTTTTGCAAATCTCAACATATTTTTGCTCCTCATTCAAAGAGGCTTAAAAAAAAATGACTTAAGAGAAATGTGAATGTGTTGGGGAGTTTTGATTTAGAAAGATACTAAAATTCTACTGGCATGGGTTCAGCTGTGTTTATGTTTCATGATTACACATTTTGAAGTGAGATCCTATACTAATGATCTCATTTAAATAAACATGGTGGTTTGTCATTCATATGCATATCCAGATAACACACAAAGCTAGATTTTTCAAAATTCCCTTCTAACATATGACTACATGTACATTTGTACACCTGGGTTTGTATCTGAATCTGAATGTGTGTAGGAAGAACCCAATGAATGAGTCTATTAACCACCCTTTTTTGTTACTTTTTGAAACAGTTTGGTTACCTGAGGTAATTTTTAAGTCTTTGAATCCTAAAAAAACACAATATTAGATAGGCCTTTTTCTTCCCCCATCCCTCCAACTACTTTCTGCTCCTTCAGAACAGTCACGCATTCCATTTCATTGACTTAAATACAGCCTTTAGAGAGAAAGGAGAATGACAAACTAATCTGTAAGTATCATCCTAGTTTTCTTCCTTTTCTGTTTAATTAAATACTCAGTTCAGTTCAGTCGCTCAGTCGTGTCTGACTCTGCAACCCAGTGGACTGCAGCACGCCAGGCTTCCCTGTCCATCACCCAACTCCTGGAGCTTACTCAAACTCATGTCCATCGAGTCGGTGATGCCATCCAACCATCTTATCCTCTAAATTAAATACTCAGATTTATCTCAAATATGTCTTCTTGCTTTTGGAAAGAACCATAATGACAAAAGCAGAAACAAATACATTACTTGGATTACTTACCTTACGTGAAACCATAGTTGCTGGACACAGGAAAAGAAGAGAAATTTGTGATCCAGGACTGGCTGTCTTTCTCTTCATTTGAATCACAGAAACTTCCTTTCCTTCCAAAACTTTTTCTAGTCTTCCTCAGTATTTCCAGGAGCTAAAAGGGAGGTGTGTGTAGAAAGTAAATTGCAGAGTATCAGGAGACAAATAACTGAAGAAGGGAGGAGTACCATTCTAGTGAAAGAATGTCTCCATCTGTAAAATTATTTCGTTTCTGCAGACATCATCAGTGTGTTAAAATATCAGAATTTCATGATGAAAATAATTTTCAAAATATGTATGTGCTCACTTTGACAGCACGTATACTGAACATGTGCTGTTTAGCAAATGTACTATTGTAGTTCATGAAGTTGAACAATAGATGGCACTTTACTTTTTATAACTCCAGTTGAAATAATTGGAAGAGTTTTAATTGGATTTTTCAGCTGTTTAGTAAGGTTTCTCTTCACTTATCTTAACGGAAAGTGAAAGGCTAGCCTTAAGTCTGCTGGGGCTGCCCTCCCTGTTTCATAAATGAGGAAATTGAGGGCTAGGGAGAATAACTTGCCAGTGGACACAGTTACTAATGCAGTTTGAATTCAGAGTTTGAAAGTCTGGCTTCAGAGACCTGTACTCTTGAGCAATAATCTGCATTGTTTCCATGTCAGATAGTAAAATACAAATATTAGAGTTTTCTAAATATGCCATTTCCCTTCTTTCTTACTCCTTTTGATTTTTGCCCAGCTGATGGGATTAGTTGATCATGAAAAAGGAGTGAGTACATGTATGTGTTACTCCTGGTGTAAATGTAACCTTTCTGGAGTATTGTCCAACTGTAAGCAACAAAAGCTGTAAAACCTGGCATTACCTTTTGATATGATCATCCCATTTTTTGCAATACACTGCACACAACTCTCAAAGGAAAAGGAAGGCCCAGTGGCTAGGAGTCCGTGCTTTCACTGCTGAGGAACTGGGTTCCATCCTTGGTCGGGTAGCTCAGATCCCACAAGCCGCAGAGCACCGCCCCCGCCCCCCGCCAAAAAGGAACACCCTGTTCGTGAAGAAAAATTGTATTAGTAGTGCCATGAGGAAAAGGGGAAGACACAAAAGCGTATGTGTAATGGTACTTTATCCATAAGGGTCAGTTCATTAAACAGATCAGTGGTTCTGAAGACTAGGGATTGTTTGGGAAGGGAGATGGGTATGACTCTAAAGAAAGGACAGTGTGAGGGAGGGCCTTGTGATGATGGAACAGCTGTGTATCTTGTTCACAGTGATGGTTACAGAAGTCCACCATGATAAAGTGACATAGAACTATACCCAGGCATCCATGCCAGTATCAATTACTCATTTTGCTACTGTAACTATACAGTAATTATCTAAGGTGTAATCATTGCAGGAAACTGGATGAAGAACACATAGGACCTCTGTGCTGTCTTTGCCACTTCCCATGAATCTATAATTATTTCAAAATAAAGTTTTAGAAGTTCCTAAAGTCCTATAAAAGAGTTGGTGTACCAAGGTTAAAGGGGTATTTGGAATGGTTGGTTTTGTTTTGCTTTTTGTCTTATTGTTTAAAAAAATTTTCCCCATTTTAGAGTTGGTTGAATATACAATTATTTTAAGTGCCTGTGTATTTTTAAGTTACAGAAGCAAAAGTACCATAGATTTTGCCATAGATTTTCTGCCAACCAGATATTTCTTTTACAGTATGGGCCCAGGGCTGTGACATCAGCGCAACAGAAAGCTGGGAGAACAATCACGGCCCGGATCACAGGGAGATGTGATTTTGCTTCAAAAAACAGAATCAGTAGCAGTTTGGCTATAATGGGAGTTTCTCCTCCCATGAGCTCCGTTGTTGTGGAAAAACATCATCCGGTCACAGTGGTGAGTCTGCCTTTGATAACTTTTTGTCACAAAACCTTTTTCCTGAGAGCTGATAGACTAATAAGCACTTAAATGCCATGTTGAGGAGAGGATCAAAATCCACGGTGCCTCGTACTTGTTCTGCCTTTACTATTACAGTCTTTATATACTTACAGTTGTTACATCTGCTTTATATGTACACCTTTCCTATTTTAAGAGATTAATTTCAGAAACGTTGTTTCTTCTCATTTGTCTGCTGTGTGTGAGTCTCTGAGTCCTGTCCGACTCTCTGCAGTTCCATGGACTGCAGCCCTCCAGATCCCTCTGTCCATGCGATTTTCCAGGCAAGGAGACTGGAGTGGGTTGCCATTCCTTCTCCAGGTTATCTTTTGAACCCAGGTCTCCTGCGTTGCGGGCAGATGGTTTACCACCTGAGCCAGCAGGGGGTGAGGGTGGGGGCTCAGCCGGGGTAGTATAAAAATTGTCAGATACAGAAAGTTATCCGGTGTGCTGATGGCCAGAAGGGTAAATATATAAATGATTTCTCAATACTTTCTTTAAAAAGACAAAAACTGTTTACTCATTAACTGCTATCCATATAGCATATTTTTTACCCTAAGAAAAACTTACCTACTTTTATGGTGTTTGATTTTTGCTCCTTTTTTTTTTTTTTTGGAAGTCTTCCTACTTTTTCAAATACAGTTGTCAACATATTTCTAACTTGGGGAAAAAAATCAGGTTGCAGTAAATTCATGTGATGTAAAGAAAAGTACATGGAATTTAAGCAAAAATAAACAAGAAGACCGGAGTTAATGCCTTAGTTTTGCTACTTACTGCCTTTGTGATCATATACAGATCAAAAAATATTTGAACCTCCATTTTTTTCATGTGTAAAACAGTAGCAATAAGAGCACTTAGCTCCTAGAGTTAACTGTCAGGATTCAGGATTAAATGAGGTAATGTGAAAATTAAATGAGATGTATAAAGGCACTTTGTAAACCATAAAGCCATAAGCAAATTTAACTTAATAAAAATTACTAGAGGACACATGGGAGATCTTCTGTTATTTCTTACAATCATACATGAGTCAACAATTATCTCAAAAAGTTTAATTTCTAAAAGTTATGAGAACACATCCCTAGAGAGAAACAAGGGTTGATTTTATTATAAAAGAGAATGCCCTTTATATAAATTTTAAGTCTTAACATTCCTGTCTACTTAATATGTCAAAAAGATGTAAGGAATGATTGTAAATCCTTTTCTTTGTGAGCACTAGATTGTTGCTAGATGATGATTAAGTCAAAAGAAGCTGGATTGGTTGTTTAAATTTAGCCTCAGGTATAGTGCGATAGTGAAGCTACAGACTGAGATGGAAGTACCGAGTCCAGACTGAACACATGGAGGGTGGAGAATCATCTCAGCCTCTCTAGGTTGGACAGACTTTGAAAGGCCTTAGATGACTTCTCTACATATTTTTGAAAATGTGAGCTTAGTTATCAAAGATGAGATGAAATGAACTCATTTCTGTTTTTATCAGCACAGTACTCTTGCCTGGAAAATCCCATGGACAGAGGAGCCTGGTGGGCTGCAGTCCATGGGGTCGCTAAGAGTCGGACACGACTGAGTGACTTCACTTTCACTTTTCACTTTCATGCACTGGAGAAGGAAATGGCAACCCACTCCAGTGTTCTTGCCTGGAGAATCCCAGGGACGGGGAGCCTGGTGGGCTGCCGTCTATGGGGTCGCACAGTTGGACACGACGGAAGCGACTTAGCAGCAGCAGCTGCAAGATGTTTATAAAGAAATGGGAGAGAGAGACTGTCCATTTGTAAGATAAGATGTAAAGAGAGCACATGTGTTTATTTTTAATTCCGACAAACTGGTTTTGTACTGATTGGAGTGATACTTTACAGAAAAAGAACCAAGAAACTAAAGACTTAAAACCCCTGTTTGATATTAACTGCCTTTTGTTTATTTAGTATGTCCAATGACTTCAGTAATTGGCCATGAATTAAATAGCCATAAACTGCTTCCATTATTACCTGCTTTGGACTGTGTAACAGGCACAGTGGCAGTCCTCTGTACTAGTTTTCATTTTATTCTGGGATCCCAGGAACTAGGACTGTCAGAAACAGTTACTTACTAATAAACCGTTCTCCAGACTTTGGACACTGGAGCTCCACCTGCTGGGTGATTGCTTGCCCCTGAGGCTACTTGGTTCTGTGCTCTGTTTTGTAGACACGATGCCAGCGGCGCCCCGGTCTGCTTCTGCAGCTCTCTTGCCCATCATCCCTTAGGAGGAATGGCTCTTTTGTTATGGTCAGATCAGGTGGTTAGCAACTAAAATTTCATACCATTTGCAAGAATCTCTTCCATTTGTAGTGGTTATCCAGTTATTTATGTACAAAGAAACATTTATATAAAAGACTTTAAGAAAGGAGGTTGTTTTTTATTTCTTTAAAGAGGAAATCTAATTAAATGGAATCTGACATGAGGATCTTTGTTTCAAGAGGTTTTGTCCATTTCCTAAGCAAAAGCTGTATCATAGAGCTTTTGAAATGCACAGTGAATGTTTTGATATGATATGTATAATTTTACGTCAAGTATTTTAAAGATGACTTTTCTAAAAGGAACACCCTAATAGGAATCTACATGTACTAATGTTTGTCGGGCTAAACTGTAGATAATGAAATAATATTTAGTATGTATAATTTTATTGACTTGTTTAAAGTATATTTTTGCTTTTTCAGCAAACCATTCCTCAAGCTGCTGCAGCAAAATACCCGCGGACCATTCACCCTGAAGGCAGCGCCTCAGCTCCCAGGTCTCTTGGAACCAGAACAGCTCACACCCAGTCTCTCACAAGCATTCCGTCCATAAAAGTGGTTGACTGAAATGAATATGTTCACATAGAGGTCTTCTAATTCTTCTGGCTTTACCAAGAATTAGAAGTCTTTCGTTTTTAAAATTTCATATCCTTAGAACATTATGGATATATCATGTTCATTTTTTCAAAGTTACAAGAGACTTTTCCAAGCTGTACCATCCTTTGTAACTATATGTAGAATTACTTTAATGTTATTTTTTATTTAAGCAATTAAGTAAAACTTTTTTAAATTAAAAAAGAAACGACTTAATTTTTTTAATAGGTTCAACATGTCACTGATTATATCAAAGTATATAAATCCTGTTTTTGTAAAAGTCTGAATCATTTCCAGTGTTACCAAGTAAACTTTGAAAGAAAACTTGATTTAAAAAAATTATTTATACTAATAGAGACTAAGGTATTATTTGAAAATTTAAAAGATAAAAGCCAAGAGTAATAATACCACAAAGTTTTTTTGTGACTTTAGTATATTAGTCCTCATTTTTCTAGGATTCTAACAATTAAAAATAGGGGGAACTAGCAATACCTATGAATAAAATTTTTAATGTTGAAAGAGGAAAAACAGTCACAAAAACAGCACAAAAACAGTCACAGAAACATCAGAAAGAAGTTTCCTCGTAGAATGATCCTATTTCTAATGTTCTTTCCCACCTTGTTGAAACTCTACCTCTGAACCCTTTTTTGCTCTGAACATGCAAACATTTTCCTGTGATGGCATAGCCCTGGACAATTCAGCAGACCTTCCAGGCCTGGCAGAGACTTGTCCATGGCTGGATGAAAGGAAGAAACCATCTGGACAAACAGATTTAGAACAGAGACCAGGCTTCTGACGGTTTTATTGCTGGCTGACTGGGTTATCTTGAGCCAGACACTTAATGGCAGGATCCTCATCTGTGAAATAATAAGATCTACCTACCCCACCTCTTTCCCAAAGTCCTTAGGCTTATATAAAAATGAGCGGATTCTGAAGAACTTGTGTAGAGCCTAGGTTTCTGTATCTTTCCTACAAGTCTGTGATTTCAGCCTCTTTCAGTCTGAACATGACCTAGCCCCGTGCTCTAACTTTACCACTGGAAATACAGTTTTTCTTACTGCCTCATGTCATAATAGGACTAGAGAATAAATGTGAGGTCAGTAAATATCCCATTTTCTAAAGGGCACACCAAGGCTTTTTTGAACTATAAAAGCATCTGGCTGTGTCTTAAAGAGTATTCACCAGGGAAACCCAGAAGAGTATTAGATCCTTCTTATGTAATAGTGTATGATCTTCCTTATACTTATTGTGGGTTCTGGCCAACTACAACCAGCTTCTGCTGTGGCAAGCGGCTCTTGGTTTTCAATAAGCACAAACCCACAACACCTCATCTTCTGCTGCCCGCACCACAGGCCTATTCCTCCCAGGTCTTCCCTGCCCACCCAGAGTCGAGACACCTGAAGTCTCCGCTCACCTGCAGCATGGAATCAGCACCCCACTGGGGTAAACATCCGTTCTTAACTTTCCAAACCCTGTATAAACTGTCCATCCTTGAGGTCGGTCAGTCAGTTGTACTTGATACCAGGTGTTGGCCAGTTAGATAAATCACGCAGTCTCAGCTCTCCCTCCCTCCCTCCTCCATCTCACTTCCCTTTTCCTTCACTCCTGCCTCCTTGGATTTGCACTCCTGAGAAAAGCAACAGCTCATTACTTTGGTCTTGGGCTCTGCTTTTTAAGGAACTTGCATGACAGCTAGGGATGGTCTTCAGTATCAGAGCCACAACCACATAGACTAACGTCAATATTATGAATATTGTAATTAAGAATATTGTAAGCATCTTTTAAAGCTTTAAACTCTAGAAATTGTATATTGTCTGCAGCACCAAGTAATTAGTATTAGCCCAATTCAACTTAAATTCAACAATTAAAACACTTAAGCAGTAAAAGTATGTATTCATCTTTGTTTACCATTGCATTAAGAGGTTACCCAGATTTTGAATCATGGTCTGTGGAAACCGCGGTCTCAGGTGGTGCTTTAAACTTTCTAGCATCATGTGAACATATTACCTGTCTAAAACCTGTTTTAAAATTTAAATGTACCATTTACAATCAGCATGAGATGAAATGTAGAACTATAAATTTATGATATAATAACTGGGCTGAAATTGCTCACGATTTTATTTCTGGCCTTACAGACTTAGAGTCAGAATTTGATAATGGAGAGCCTTAAGTTATAATGAATAGGTACACATAAGCTGATAGAAACTGATAGTTGATTTCATATTTCAGAACGTTCTCAGATTATAAAAATAATGTATGGTCAATATGAAAACAAGTAGAAAGTGCCGAATCACCTGTAACTACATCACCAAGATTAAAAAACATTGGTGCATATACCTCTGGTTTTAAGTAAAATGTTATATTACATATAGGTGTTATTTAAAGGCAACAGCTACTAAATTTCCAAAGCAAGTTTCTCTTGTGGACTAGAAATAATAGTTCATTTCAGTACTATAGATACGAGGTTAGGCATTTCACAGGCATTCTCCATCATCACTTAACTTTACAGAAGAGATAGCCTTTTCCCCCAACCTATGGAGAAGGAAATTAAAGATCTGATAACTTGAATATTAGTCCAAAGGCTCACAGCTAATAAATTGCAAAACCATGTCTGTCTGTTCTAAAACCCTTGGTTTTTTTCACATACCATAATGTTCCCACCATCATAATTTTTAAAACATGATATACAAAATCTTATTCTATCACTAGACAAGCTATCAGGTGTTGCATCAAATGACAGAAATGGGAAAATCATATACAACTTGCTTTAAGCAAAACCAAAAATTTTTTTACTTCAGTGGTTGGAAAGTATAATACCATTTCTTCATCTGTTAGAGAATCCTGTCACTGTCATCTTCATAGTTGAAAGGAAAATCAATACTACTGCTGGAAGAACTTGATGACATTTAAAGAACTGAATTTAAGAGGACTGCACACTGAATGGAAAATCAGTTTAATTTCTTTAGGCGTTTATGAAAGTGCACATTTCTTGGGCCTTGAGTAAGCTTCACTTTTAAATTTATGAATCTTTTCTGGAAAAAAATCAGATAACATGATTAATAGCTGACCTTTATTAAGCACTTGCTACAAGTCAGGCACCATCACTCAATCCCACAAATGGCCCTTTGACACAGACGCTTTTCTAGTTAACAGTTGAGAACACTGGTGAAGTGAGTTCTCTAGAGAACTTGCTCAAAATCACACAGCCCATTATCTGTCGGAGTTGAGCTATAAGCTCCCAGTCTCACCTGGAGTGCATGCCCTCACCCACTGCAGTGGGCTGCCTCTGAGAGTTCTTGCGGACACTCTTTCATAGAAACAAAATCCAAGTCGTAGGGAACAACCCAGAGCTAGGAGGATAAGACCATGGAAGGTAGACATCACCCATACACTATTCCTTTGTACCTACCACTGCTTGAAACAATGCTGGATTCGCAATCTGGTGTGCTTTCATGTTCTCAGTTTCAGGAAACTGCACCAGCGAAAATAATGGCAGATGTCTCTATATTTTGCTTGAATGGTTATTACATGAATGATAAATAACACCCCTAATATGCTGATAAGGTTTCAAACCATCTTCCCTGACAGCACGGTCCCTGGTCGAGTGCTTTTTAGCAGTAATCCCAGCTGGCAAAATAATAGCCCATCAGCTCTCCTCTCAACGCAGAGAGAACTTTTTCAAACACACTAACCTGCAGAGTTCCCAAGAGGAAGAGGCATTCTGTGCAAGACCATTCTTAGCTGTGGGGCACTGTCCTGTCACCTTATGAGACGGTGCAGCTCTCTCGCCCACCTCCCATCCCACACCCACCATGCCCCACACACAAAAGTTCCCCTCCACTTCTCAAATGCCCAGCTGGGGGATGACCCTGAACCGCCAGGCCGACAATGGGACCAGAATGACTAAGTCACCAAAGGGGAAGCTGTGTGTTCGGACGCCCTGCTGGGACTGCCGCGGCTCAGGGGAGCACTTCTGCCAACTGTCCTCGACTGTTTTAAGCGAGCAGCAGTTTCCACCTGTTTGTTGAAAAGCCTAACTCACCAGCTGGTTCTGGAAAGTCCGTGCGCACCTAAAGCTCCTCGTACAGGTGCTTGACCGGCGTGGCCTGTGTCGCCAGGGCCCCGTGCAGCCAAATAAGCAGAGCCCTGTGGCCGTGTTCGCAGAAGCTCTCCTTTCCTGAGCCAAGCACAAAGGGCAGATGCTGACGCCTGCTTCGGGGAACTCAGTTCTAACTCGATTTCCACATAGCTGTGGTTGCAGGTTCATTCCCCCTCTGGCAGCTGTGAGATAGGAAGCCCAGTGCATGAAAGCCCTTCCTTCACTGGTTCTTCTAGGGGGCACCAGAGTTTGGAGTTCTTGTCACGCACCTACTGTGCTTAACACGGATCAAAGCTGAGGAGGAGAGGGGAGGGAAAATCTTAAAGCGATGTGGAGCTTTTTCCTCAACGTTCAGGGGGCACTGGGATAGGCCAGCGCTGCTGGTTCAGCCAGTCTGGAGTGAGGATCTGCAGGTCAGTAAGCTCCCAGGTCCTGCTGCCGCTGCCCTCTGACCACACCCTTAGCAGCCAGCATGCACGCACCTGCCAGTCCAGCTTCCAGAAAGCTCCTCAGGTGGAAGCCTGCAGCTCCAGGCCAGGCAGGACTCTCCACTGGGCACATCCCAGTAGACATTCTGCCCCTAAGAGGTGTTGGGGGACGTGCTGGGTCTGGAGATGAGAAGCCATGGGCACTTCTGCCTACAGGCCACAGTCACAAAGCCCTGCCAGATGCTGAGGAAATGGGGGCCTGAGCTCTGGGGAGGAAGTCCGCCGCGTTGACTGTTGGACACACAGGCATTTCAGGGGGAGCAAACTGTTCCCATAAGGAATGTACCCCTGGTGAATCCAGCACCCCTCCTTGTCCTGCTGCCACCAGACTGATTTCTCTTATATACCATCATCAGCATGTCATTCCTTTGCTCAAAAGCCCACCAATTCCTGGGCTTCCCGAGTGGCTCAGTAAAGAATTCACCTGCAATGCAAGAGGCTGAGGTTCAATTTCTGGGTCAGGAAGGTCTCCTGGAGAAGGAAATGGCAACCCACTCCAGTATTCTTGCCTGGGAAATCCCACGGACAGAGGAGCCTTGCTGGCTACAGTCCATGGGTCACAGAGAGTCAGACACGACTAAGCCGCCGCCACCACCACCAATTCCTTCATGCCAGCTACAACATAACTGGATTGTGCCTGTTACTATTGATACTATCGCGCCAACCCGATTATCAGCTGCGTCAAACAGGCACCACAACTTACAGAGCTGACATGTGGATCCCCTCACAGCACTAAACACATTCTAGGCACCCTGTAATGTGTGAGTGCAATACATCAAAACCCTCATCCTGACAGCAAGTACTCTGAAGGCATAATGTATTTCCAAATCAATTTTTTAGGTCAAGAGAAATTTCCAGAAGGCAACTCCATTTTTCTGAACACTGCAGAACACTATATGCCTAATTAGCAACAAGGAGAAATCTTAACAATACAAAAGAAATCTTTTTAGAAACTGTAGTCAATATTCAACATTTTCAATGCATTATCTTCCTTTTTTTCCACATGAAAATGTATCCTTAGAATTAGCAATAAAAGTGCCAGAATGTACTTGTGTGGGGTGTAAGTGAACTGCCTGCCTCTTGCCCACATCGTCTGGGCCTTGCTGACCTGCTCACTGCTCTTCACCGGCTCTAGGAGGCACTCCTCTGGGCGTGCGTAAAGTTCCGCGAACTGGCCAGCCTCTGCCGCTCATTGGCCTTCAGCTGACAGTCAGCCGGGTGCCGGAGCAGACTGCGAATGTGCCTGGTCTCCAGGCTGTGATCCTGCCTGAACGTCAGAGTAGAGCGGGTTGATGTGTCCCTTGATGTTCTCACTCTGCTCCTAGATTGAAAGGAACCCTGTCGGATGATTTCAGATGTTTTCTGCTGATTGCCTCATTTCAGAGTATATATGAACTTATTTTTATCAGGTGGAATCCGTAAGGTGGTAACCAAGACTATGCTTTCAACATTAACTACAACTGGATTAATTTTTTTTGTCATCCAAGATAGAGACAAACGTCTGAAACAACAAGCTGGAGTCTGACTCAGGAAGCGTGAGGCCTTTTGCCACGCTGTGTCCCATGCCTCTACCCCAGCCTGCTCACCACTTCTAAGGAAACAGACGGGGTGCCTTGGCTATGGCAATGTCACCACAGCAAATGCATCTTTACATGCCTTACTTCCAACCAATATCACTTTTTCTTCTTTGGGGTGTTTAATTTTCTCCTGTCAACATTTCCGTGGGGCCAAGATTGGACATGTTCTTTAGGAGACCCCACAGTCGATGCCTCTGTCCCTCCTGCTCTCTGATGGCTGTGAGGAGAGTGGACAGGCGCCCTGACTCTCAGGGCTGCAGAAGACAGGGCTCCTCCGTGGTGTGCGTAATGCACCTGCACTCGAGGTGCTACAGTCACGCTGTGTGTAATGCACCTGCACTCGAGGTGCTACAGTCACGCTGTGTGTAATACAACTGCACTCTAGGGCATACAATCAGGCTGTGTGTAATACAACTGCACTCGAGGCAATACAGTCACGCTGTGTGTAATACAACTGCACTCTAGGTAATACAGTCACACTGTGTGTAATACAACTGCACTCAAGGTGATACAGTCACACTGTGTGTAATGCACCTGCACTCGAGGTGCTACAGTCACGCTGTGTGTAATACAACTGCACTAGGTGCTACAGTCACGCTGTGTGTAATGCACCTGCCCTGGAGGTGCTATAGTCACGCTGTGCGTAATGCACCTGCACTCTAGGTGCTACAGTCACACTGTGTGTAATGCACCTGCACTCGAGGTGCTACAGTCATGCTGTGTGTAATACAACTGCACTCTAGGTCATACAGTCACGCTGTGTGTAATGCACCTGCCCTGGAGGTGCTACAGTCACGCTGTGTGTAATGCACCTGCCCTGGAGGTGCTACAGTCACGCTGTGCGTAATGCTCCTGCACTCTAGGTCATACAGTCACGCTGTGTGTAATACAACTGCACTAGGTGCTACAGTCACGCTGTGTGTAATGCACCTGCCCTGGAGGTGCTACAGTCACGCTGTGCGTAATGCACCTGCACTCTAGGTGCTACAGTCATACTGTGTGTAATGCACCTGCACTCGAGGTGCTACAGTCANGTAAAGTAATTAGCCTCCAACTAATAAAAAAAAATTAAATTAAAAAAAAAAAGTGAAATCTTAGTGAAAGATACTCTGAACAGCAATCTGGAAGTCAATGCTGGGGCAGGAAATGGACTAAAGGGGTATGGGAACCTGGTTTTTGAGACCTACAAGAAGAAAGTGGGGGAGCTTGTGCCCCAGCCTCCAGCACGGGCCAGCCTGCACCCTCACAGCATCAGTACCCTCCTCCGGAAGGTCCACAAAAACTCCCGGGAAACTTGGTGGAGGGGCACAGCAAGACCTTTCTCTAGCATCTGGACTTTGTGAACAGAAGCTGGGATAGGAATGGTAGGAATGACTGGCTCATAATTGTTTAAGGTTTTAAAACGCAGGGTCTTTTGCACCCCAGCCTTTCTCTACGTAAAAGAGGTAAGGGTGGGGGTGGCGGACTCCAACAAACAGGAGGAATGCTGGCTGCCCTGTTCCTTTTCTCCTCATCCCATCTCCTGAAAATGTGAAATCGAAGAAGATGAAAACCCCAAACATCACCAATTAAAGGGAAGGCTACAAAATGCCTCTCCTCTCAGCTCTGCACTATAGCACCTTCATTTCTCTGGAAGCATGCCTCCTGTGTGTGCATTCCGGGATTGGGCTGGGCCTTCCTTCAGGCTGCCACAGAAAGGGCCAGGGATTTGGAAAGCCCAGGTCTTTTTCAACAGGCAGTGGAAGCATTAATAGCTCATCCGTAAAGCACTGACCTATTTGCAGGAATAACATAAGCCAGAACTGGTGGAAATTAAAATAGCATAGGCCAGATGTTAGGAAGCTCCCATTTGAACCATTGAATTTAATGATGGATGATTAGGTGGTTAGGTAGATGAGTAAATGGATATGAGAGAGAGGGGTAATTTCAACGGTTTCTCTAATCTTCTCATTAGGAAACATTTTATATTAGACCAGGATATAAGCTTCTTTAATAACACAGTTTTAAATAATAAAATAGCAATAAATAAATTTGGTTAAAAAATGTTAAGGATATATATTTAAAAAAAAACAAGACTTCCTCCCACTCCAGACTTCAGGATCCCAGTTGTCACCAGGGGTTAACAACTCTTAGCATTTTCTGTGGGTCTACATCACCAGCTATAGGCATGCATTATTTATGATTTTCAAAGTTCATCTAACTCTCCCATCTTAAAGATTGGCAAGGAAAGAGGCCTTATTCATCTGGTAGAAAAATGATTTATTCTCATCTAGGAAAAAGAATCTAAAAATGCTAACAGAAATTAAAAATAGAACCAGTGAATATTCCTATTTTTAAAGAAAATGTGAAAACCACCATTTAAAAAACAAGCAAAAAGATGGAACCTGGGAAAGTCATCCTCAATAAAACATAGTGATGATCTAAGAAAGTGAGAGTGAGGCTAGACAAAGAGGAAGAGGAAAAAGAAGATGGAATAGAAATGAGAGGAAAAAGGAGAATGATTAAACAGAATGCTAATTGTCAAGCGTTGTCAACTTTGTCAAGTTTGTTTTGTCTTAGAGGCAAATAAGAAAAGTCTGGGGAGGACAGAGTGGACTCTGAAATAATCCCCATGTACCAGGATTATTGAGCCAATTAAGCAGTACTGTGAGCAAAGAGGCAAATCAGTGCATTTTGCCTTAAAAGGCCTTAAAGGGACATTTCTCAGCACTGGCAAATTAGACATCAATTCGGGCATGAGGTCCCCTCAGGGGGAGAGGTACTAGGACCCAAATTCTGGCTCCAGCCTATCGGACCAGGGGTTCAGTCTAGGACAGTAGAGGGTGGCTGTCTAGTAATGAAATTCCTGCCCAAAGGGACTGAATCTTGGTGGGGTGGGGGGTGGGGATTCTATTGAGATGCTGCATGAGTGGCAGCTATCAGAGGGAATACTGATGCAAGAAGGCAGAGCGATGTCCTGGAGACCAGTTTTTGTATTCTCAAGATGAATAAGGTTTGCATGACCATCGCAGAATACTTGAGTACTGAACAGCCAGCACAGTGGTATGTTGCAAACTGCAAAACTCTGAATAGGAATAATATCTAATAAAAATATAAAGCAAAAGATTTGATTTTAACATCTTTGAATTTGGGATTCCTAAGGTATCTGAATAATCACTGGCTGCTATTTCAGCTCTTCTCTCCCCACCTAGCAAAAGCTTCACCATTTCTGTGCAGCACATAAAAATGTCAAACATTTGAGATGTGGATTGGACTGACCTTTACTAATGGTCATACTCATTTTCATTATTGGTTTCTTACTAGAATACATATATCCTCAGTAGTATAGTTCATCAGTGCTAGAGTAAATACTTGTGTGAAAGTATTTTAACTGTTTTCTAAAAAGTAACTTACACAAACCTACCTGGTTTGCCATCTTTGGGTGTTTATATTTTGTGGGCTTGTAGTTAAAAAGAGGAAGAAAAATTGTGTCCAAATAATGTAGCACTTAAACTTTATATCATAAAGCCACATTTAGAATTGCTGTTGCTTTAATGATTTCTGAAATTTAAATAGTGCAGCCAAATAAAAGACAAAGATACAAACACTAAATATGAACTTCCCTACCAGGACTGATGGCCCAGATGGTAGAGTCCACTTGCAATGGAGGAGACATGGGTTCGATCCCTGGGTCAGGAAGACCCTCTGGAGAAGGGAATGGCAACCCACACCAATATTCTTGCCTGGAGAATCCCAAGGACAGAGGAATCTGGCAGGCCACAGTCCATGGGGTCACAAAGAGTAAGACATGACTGAGTGACTAACCCATCCGAATGACATCCGACCACTTAGTAGAATGGGAGTCTGGGAACTTCCAGAAGGAACCATATATAGCCAGAGACTGTGACGGCAGGCACAGCCAGCAGTGTAGGCTGGCCTGCTTGGCCCCACTGAGCCCTATGCTCTTCTGCTCCCACCACTGGGACTAACAAAGGATGGAGAGGAAGGGACGCAGCTGTTCAGGACGGATGGAACAGCACAGGACGAGAGCCGGTGAAACCACACTCACCCGGGCCCTGGCCACTAGGGAGAGAAAAAGAATCACATAGACCGCCCCTCCCGCCCGTCAGAAGAGGGGGTTGTAGAAGAGGCCTCTGCGGAGCTGGCCTGAGCCTTCCTTACCTCTCTCTAGGCATAGTGCCTCTCAGCTTTGATGAGCACGTCCATGGGGAGGCTGCGGCTGCTCCTTGCGGCCACAGCCAGGGCAGTCTTCCCTTGCTAAAAGCCAGAAATCAAAGTGTCGGACAATGTGGAGTACTGGTGAGGAGCTCTAGCTTTGGAACAAGGGGCCCTGGATTCAAATCCTGACCCTACTGGGGAAATTAAAAGACGCTTGCTCCTTGGAAAAAAGCTATGACCAACCTAGANCCTTGTGGGGAAAATGTGGGCCAGTCCTCAGCTTCACCCAGTCTCAGTAACTTCCCCTCTGTGTAGCAGCAAGGGGCAAGTGTGATAACACATATTGCACACTTAGAACTGCTGTGGCACATGGTAATAGTCTAAGAGATGCTAGATGTTGATAGTGTCAAGAGCTGTGTCACTGGGGCAAGAGAAAGGATTGTGGCTTAGGGACCCACCATCAACAGGTGATTTTTTTATACACACGCTATCAATGAGAACCCAAGCATTTCTCTAAGATTGGCAGGGGTCACTCTGGCTCACTGCACTGGGAAGTCCTCAGCAAATAAATAATATGATCACACACACTTCTCCTCCAAAAGCTAACTCCACCTGTGGCACAAACTTTAGCTAATAACCCATGCCCGCTTCCCCACCAAATTGCCTTTCCTCTTTTCTTCTAAAAGAGATCTCCAGATTTTAGCTGGGCATTTGGCCACCTGAGTATTTTCCTAGCCTCTCTTACCCTTGGGTATGTGAACTAAGTACTGGCCAATGGCATACAAATGAAAGCAGCAAATGCAACTTCTGGGAAGCATCCTTACAGAGAAGAGGGATGTCACTCCCCTTCCCTCCCTCCTTCTCCCCAAGTGGAATGCTGACGTGATGGCAGGAGCCCAAACAGCCAGGTTAGATCAGCAAGTGAAGGCCACCTACTGAGGAGGGTGGAGAAATAACACAGCAAAGGGATGAATTTTATTCAGAATAAATATCAATCATGGTAACACTAATACAGAGCTCAACTTACTGGACTCCTATCCAGAGATTTTTCTATTATATCACACCACCTCTAAACAAAGATGAGGGGTTAGAATCTTAACCAAATCATTCATGCATGCTCAGTTGCTGAGTCATGTTGGATTCTTTGAGATCCTATGGACTATAGCCTTCCAGTCTCCTCTGTCCATGGAATTTTCCAGGCAAGAATACTGGAGTGGGTTGCCATGCCCTCCTCCAGGGGATCTTCCCAACCCAGGGATCAAACTCCCATGTCCTGCATCTCCTGCATTGGCACGTGGATTCTTTACTACAGAGCCACCTGGGAAGCCCTTGGAATGACCAATAAAGGCTGTTCTAGACCTAATTTGGGGGCATAAATGTCCTTGGAGCCCATATGGCACCTCACAAATTACAAATGGCATACCTTTGTCAAGGTGGGTATAGTTCACAGCTCCCCTAGATTTTGAGAAGTGCCCAAGCCACACATCTATACTGTTTCCCCAAGCAAAAGATGCTGGTTCTCATTTGCTTTCCAAAGGACCCATGGAAAATCTGCTCAGGGATCCTGAAGATAATTAAAATGAATGGTCAGAAAAAGCCTCAGAAGGGATTTCCCTGGATGTCCTGAGGCTAAGATTCCCCATCCCCAATGCAGAAGGCCTAGGTTTGATCCCTGGTCAGGGAACTAGATCCCACATGCCACAACAAAGACCCAGAACAGCCAAATAAATATTTTTTATTAAAAAAAAGAAGAAACAAAGAAAGAAGAGAAATAACCTCGGAAAGAAGTTCCAACCTCAGAAACCCATGTTTCTATGCTCAGAGATCCAGAAACTTATCCTGATAAGTCTCTCACATGGCTGAGTATTTGTGAAATGCAACTCCCACCAATTCAAATGATTTGTCTGCTAGTCCAGACACTGAGACCCAGGTGAACCTAAAAATTAGAGCTGAAAGTAATCAGCCTCTAATCAAAAGAGACAGTAATGAAATTAAGAAGAACTTCATTCTGCAGGCATTTAGCAAGTGTCTAATTGTATGCTATCTAAATTCTGGCTTGTAAAGCCGTCTGAATCACCATAATTAGCCTATTTTGGGAAGGCAGCATTCTGAGAGCCAGAGGTTTCAAGCTCAGAGGAAAACCTTTGCAGGGAGCATGGGTGGAGGAGAAACGCAGATACTTGTGCTGGTGAGGGTGCGTGGCCCTCTGGGAGCTTTGTGACCCCGAAGGCTGAGAGGACAGGGAAAGTCAGCTTTACTCCCAAACTTGGCTCCTTCTTTCCCATCCAGTGTGTGTGTGTGTTAGTTACTCAGTCATGTCTGACTCTTTGTGACCCCATGGACTGTAGCCCACCAGGCTTCTCTGTCCACAGGATGGACCAGGCAAGAACACTGGAATGGATAGCCATTATCTTCCTGACCCAGGGATCGAACCCAGGTCTCCTGCATTGCAGGCAGATTCTTTACCATCTGAGCTACTAGGGAAGCCAGACCAGACTTTCATTCAGTCTTAGAAACAGTCACTTATCTTCGGTAAAAATGATCGAACAGGGAGAAAAGAGAGTTTTTCTTCATTAATTACATACGTCCTGGATGCCAACTAGGCACCAGACCTGAAGAGAAAAAGAGGGAGGAGGAGAAAGGAAATCTGGAAAACAGATCATGAGGCCCAGGAAACTGTGGCTTTGTTTTGAGAAGAGAATCAAGTTATAGCAGAGACATATTCACTGGAATATCCACTTGATTAGGGGCCCAACGTAAGATCCCTGCCCAATGCTATGGATTCTCTACTCACCAGACTGCCCTGGAGGTGTTGTTGACGAAAAACTAGAATAAAATACAAAAAGAAAGCATGAGAAGCTACTAACGCTTAATGTTAACATTGGGCTGGACGAAAGTTCCTTTGGGTTTTTCTGTAAGATACCGTGACAGAAAAACCTAATTGAACTTTTTGGACACATCAACACTAACACTAAAGGTTAATGGAGTTAATGAGCCACCACTGGTGGAATTTCACCTAAGGGATGGAAATATGGCTGATTTTGTTTTCCTCCCCTGTGCTTTTCTGTTTTCCAAACTGTATACTTTACGTTCAGAAAAAGAAAACTGACATGTTGAGGGTAAAATTATTAGCAATATTTTTATATTTTAAAATATTTTATATATTTTATATATTATATATATTAAAATATATATTTTATTGTTGAGGGTAAAAATTATTAACAACTTATCTCAATTAAAACTGGGATGTTAATATCAAGATACAAGGTTTCTCCAATTTAGGTCCATTTCACAAAAGATAGAATACACAGAAGAACTATACAAAAATGATCTTCATGACCCAGATAATCACAGTGGTGTGATCACTCACTTAGAGCCAGCCATCCTGGAATGCAAAGTCAAGTGGGCGTTAGGAAGCATCACTATGAACAAAACTAGTGGAGGTGATGGAATTCCAGTTGAGCTATTTCAAATCCTAAAAGATGCTGCCATGACAGTGCTGCACTCAATATGCCAGCAAATTTGGAAAACTCAGCAGTGGCCACAGGACTGGAAAAGGTCACCTTTCATTCCAACCCCAAAGAAAGGCAATGCCAAAGAATGTGCAAACTACCGCACAATTGCACTCAACTCACATGCTAGGAAAGAAATTCTAAAAATTCTCCAAGCTAGGCTTCAACAGTACATGAACCATGAACTTCGATTTAGACAAAGCAGAGGAACCAGAGATCAAATTGCCAACATCCACTGGATAATCGAAAAAGCAAGAGAATTCCAGTAGAGCATCTACCTCTGCTTTATTGACTGTGCCAAAGTCTGACTGTGTGGATCACAACAAACTGTGGAAGATTCTTTAAGAGATGGGAATGCTGACCACCTTACCTGCCTCCTGAGAAATCTGTATGCGGGTCAAGAAGCAACAGTTAGAACCAGACATGAAACAATGGACTGGTTCAAAATTGGGAAAGGAATACATCAAGGCTGTATATTATCACTCTATTTATTTAACTTACATGCAGAGTACATCATATGAAATGTTGGGCTGGATGAAGCACAAACTGGAATCAAGATTGCCAGGAGAAATATCAATAACCTCACATATGCAGATGACACCACCCTTATGGCAGAACTAAAGAGCCTCTTGATGAAAGTGAAAGAGGAGAGTGAAAAAGTTGGCTTAAAGCTCAACATTCA